TCCAAAGGCAGGAATCTCAAAACGTTAGTCTGCAGACACAGCAAATGATTCAGAAAGTGAATGGAATGTTATTGTTTATTGAAGGGGAGGGAAATGGAATATTATAATAACATCTGTCTGATAATGTCTCTCAATAATGGATGTACTGTGTTGGGGTGTTTCACTACAATTATACAGGGTATTTGTGAGACCACATCTAGGGGTACAGTTTTGGTCTCCCTGCATAAGAAAGGATATAATTGCATTTAGAACGGTTCACTAAACGTTAGCTTGGCTGATTCCTGGTTGGGACCAGTGATTGCGAGGAGGGAAGGTTGAGCAGATTGGGCCTGTACCCAGTGGGTGATCTTACTGAGACACACAATACCCTGAGGGGAAAGAACAGGGTGATGTGGGAGAGGTTGTGGGGGAGATTAGCACGAGAGGGCAGATATGGGGCCCTCCATTTGAGATGGAGATGTGGCAGATTTTCTTTTCTCTCGGGGGTGGTCAGTGTTTGAATAAGTGGGTGGAAGGTCTACAATAGTTCGACAGGGAGGAGTGGGGCTGGGCCATTGATTGGGGCAGAGTTAGACAGATCTCTGATGAGCCAAAACACTGAGGGCGATGACAGACAAAGAAGGAAGTAAGGCTGAGGCCAGAGCCAGAGTGGCGCTGACCTTACTGAATGACAGAGCCATTTAAGGCAGAGATCAGGAAAAATATAAGATGGAATACAATGTAGGAACGTGTGAGGTTATGCATTTTGGTAGGAAGAATAGAGGCATAGACTATTTTCTAAAAGGGGAAAGGCTACGGAAATCTGAAGCACAAAGGGACTGAGGAGTCCTAGTTCAGGATTCTCTTAAGGTTAACATGCAGGTTCAGTTAGCAGTTAGAAAGGCAAATACAATGTTAGCGTTCATTTCAAGAGGGTTAGAATACAAGAGCAGGGATGTGCTGCTGAGACTGTATAAGACTCTAGGTTTTTTTTTCTTTATTCATTCATGGGATGAGGGCATTACTGGTTAGGCCAGCATTTATTACTCATCTCTAGCTGCCCAGAGGGCAGTTAAAAGTCAACCACATTGCTGTGGGTCTGGAGTCACACATAGGCCAGACCAGGTAAGGATGGCAGTTTCCTTCCCTAAAGGACATTAGTGAACCAGATGGGTTTTTCCCCAACAATCAGCAATGGATTGTCATTAGATTCTTAACTCCAGATATTTTATTAAATTCAAATTCCATCAACTGCTGTGGCAGGATTCGAACCCAGGTTGCCAGAATATTATCTGGGTCTCTAGATTAACAGTCCAGCGACAATACCACCAGGCCATTGCCTCCCTGTAAAGCTGCATTTGGAATATTGGGAGCAGTTTTGGGCCATGTATCTAAGAAAGGATATGTTGGCATTAAAGGGGGTCCAGAGGAAGTTTACAAGAATGACCCTGAGGGATGAAGGACTTGCCATGTGAGGAGTGGTTGAGGAGTCTCGGTCTGTACTTGATGGAGTTTAGAAGGATGAGGGGGATCTGATTGAAACTTACAGAATACTGAGAGGCCTGAACATGCAGAAAGTGTTTCCACCAGGAGGAGAGACTAGGACCTGAGGGCACAGCCTCAGAGTGAAGGGACGACCCTTTAGAACTGAGATGAGGAGGAATTTCTTCAGCCTGAGGGGGGTGAATCTGTGGAACTCATTGCTGAAGAGAGCTGTGGAGGCCAAGTCATTGAGTGTATTTAAGACAGAGATAGATAGGTTCTTGATTGGTAAGGGGATCAAGGGTTATGGGGAGAAGGCGGGAGAAAGGGGTTGAGAAACATATCAGTCATGATCGAATGGTGGAGCAGACTCGATGGGCCGAATGGCCTAATTATCTTGTAGTCTTTAAATGACCTCAGAGGGTTGTGAGTCTTTGGAACTCTCTTCCTCCAAAGGAGAGGATGCTTCCTCCTGAGGGACAATCTAGAACTAGGGATCAAAGTTTAAAAATCAGGGGTCACCCGGCCAGGACAGAGATGAGGAAACATTTCTTTTCTCTCAGAGGGTTGTGAGTCTTTGGAATTCCCCTTCAAAAGGCAATGAATGCAGAATCTTTAAATATTTTTAAGGCCTAGGAAGATAGATTCCTGCTGACCAAAGGGGATGGAATATTATCGGGAATGTGCGAGGATGTAGAGTAGAGGTTAAAATAAGTTTGTATTGAATGGTGTAGCAGGCTGGAAGGGCCAAGTGGCCTCCTCCAGTTCCTAATTGGTGTGTTTGTGTGTTCAGCCCAGGTTGGCCAGGGCAGTGTCCACTGACACTGCCCCCAGTGAGGAGCCCTCTGAAGGCCATCTCCTGAGGAAGAGTGCGTCATTCTCCCAAGGGGGGGAGTCCACTGTCCTCCACCGGCCAGTGGGGGCCCCGTTGGAAATCCCTGTCCCCCAGCCGGATTCACGAGGCTACTCCGAGCCCGGCTTCCCCCTGAAGGAATCGCCCTCACTCTCGGCTTTGACTGATCCCTCCAAGTACGATGGCTCCAGGCCCCCGACACCAGTCAAGTCCACCGTAGGCAAGGACCGGAGAGCAGCTACGCCCGAGATTAAGATGGCGGAGGAGCCGAGGCTGGAAGTGGAAGGGCCTTGCATGAAGACAATGATTGGAAAGACCGCTGTCATCACCCACAGTAACCTGTCAGCTGACACCCCCACCCCCAGCCCCAGCCCTGCCTCCGAACCCCTCCAGGCAGATGACCAGCCCTCGGTGACTCCTACAGTCCCAACCACCTCCCGAGGGGAATGGTCAAGGCCAGGACTGGCCGCTGGGGGCAAACTCCGAGCCTCTGCCCCACCAGTTCCCCCAGCAACCAGACCCCTCCCAATCCCAGAGCCTCCAGACATCCCCACTCTGTCCACTCAGGAGGCAATGGACACAGCTACGACCCCAGAAGGTGTAGTCGAGAGGCCTGAAGACAAGGCCCCGATCTCCCCTGAGAGCGGCCAAACCCTGGTGACCAGTCAGGCTCCCGGAGACAGTGTTAAGGCCCTCATCCTGGTCCCCCAGCTGGACGGAGCCCCAATGGGGCAAGGGGAGCAGAACCAGATCAGTCCAAACCAGGAGGCCATCACCCCACCAATGAAAGTCAAGTCGTCCAGCTTGGGCCAGTACTTGAATATTGAGAACATTGAATCCGAGGAGATCTTTGAGGCAAAGTTTAAGAAGGTGAAGCAGCAATCGTCATTGACCCGAAGTCTGAAACATCTGATAAGACCCAAATCTGAGGAGAAATTGGAGCAACCCCCCCAGAAAGGAGACAACATGTACCGTCCGGCAGAACGAGGGGCACCTATACAGGTCCTGAAGGGTCAAGAGGCTTTCCTCAGCTACGGAGAGGACAAGTCCAGGTCCAGGTCCGAGCAGAACATTCCAGAAGCTGCAAGGGAATCCAGCTTTGTCAGGAAGCTGTCGCTGAAGTTCAAGGGGGCACCGGGAAAGGAGGAGAAGGTGAGGGATGAGCTGCCAGTTGGTGGCCGCAAACATTCTTGGTCCTTTGGGAGAAGCAGTGCGAAGGATAGGAAGCCGGAGGAGGGGGCGGATTGGGAGAGAGGGAAGCTGGAGCTCAGCTCCCCACAGAGTGAGTCCGAGCCCCTCAGGAAGGAACACAAGAACTCTCCAGCCCTGGCCATGAGGAGGAAGATCGAGTCAACCATCTCGGGCATCTCTCTACGTTTCAGCCACAGTCACTCAGAGGAGAGGGTGGAAGGCATCTCCTCAGAGCCCGGGGCCCCCGTTCTGCAGGAGGCAAAGGAGGGCAAGCGGGGCCCCTTCCTGTCTCTGCTGAGGAGATCCACCTCAGAGGCAGGGTCGCTGAAGAAGCTGGGCATCCCGCAGAACCAGCTGGCAACGCAGACTCGCCCAATGCCCTCCTCAGAGTCACTGCAGTCAGACACCAGTGTCTCCTCTAAACCCGAGAGAGGTAAGGAAAGCTTCCTCAGTTATCCACCCTGTCCCCCTGTCAGCTTCCCCACTATTGTACTGCACAGAAACAGGCCATTTGGCCCCAACTGGCCCAGGCTAGCTCAAAATGTTAACTCTGTTTCTCTCCCCACAAATGCTGCCAGACCCGCTGAGTTTCACCAGCGCTTTCTGAAGCTTGACTGGTGTTTAATTGCAACAGTTGAAGGTTCCTGTCTTTGTTTCAGATCTCCAGTGTCTGCAATTTTTTATCTTAGAATCATAGAATCTCCACATTGCCGAAAGAGTCCGTTCGGCCCATCGCGTTCACACTGACTCTCCGAAGAACATCTCACTCAGAGCACCCACCCCCAAACCTACCCCTGTAACCCTGCAATACCTATGGCTAATTCACCTAACCTACACACCCCTGAACACTATGGGCAATTTAGCATGGCCAATCCACCCCAACCCGCACATCTTTGGACTGTGGGAGGAAACAGGAACACCCGGAGGAAACCCACACAGACACGGGGAGAATGTGCAAACTCTACACAGACAGTCACCCGAGTGAGGAATTGTTGTGAGGCAGCTGTGCTAACCACCGAGCCCCTTATTATCATAGTCCGTGCTACTGTTTATTCTTCACATAAAACTCCTTAAGATGTTGGAACAGAAGTAGGCCATTCAGCCCATCGAGTCTGCTCTGCCATTCAATGAGATTGTGTCTGATCTGATCACCCCCAACTCCATGTTCCTCCCATCTCAGCCCATCCATGTATCTTTCTGTCCCTTCCCTCCCTTCCACCAAAATCTGCTCTCCCTATTGCAGCTCACAACAAATCCTGTTTCACCACCCACCCACCCGCCCCCCCCTTCTCCCCCACCACAGCCCTCTCCTCTCTAAACCTGATGGGCTCCCAGACCAGTATTATGTTGCTGTTAAAATTCTCGAATCCCACTGTGGACTTGCCTTTCCCTATCTCTGATCACTCCGGGATGTCTGTGTTCCTCCAGTTCGGTTTGCTTTCCCATTCCCATTATTCCACCAATGGTTGCTGTGTCTCCAGCTTCCTGTGTACAAAGCTCTGGAAATGCCTCCATAACCCTGTCCTCCAAGAGAGCTTAGTACAAAGCTACCTCTCTGTATGCTTGTACATGGTGTTAATATTTGTGTCCTTGAGCCATGCAGGTAAAATGGCCTTTTGTTGAAGCTTTTCAATTTGCCCTCATCAGGACAATTTACAAGAACAGTAAATAATAACATTCATGTCCTCTTTTAGGGCACTGGGTTCCTTGACAAAGCTTTCGCTGGCATTTCTTTACATAATGTCAATAAATGTCTGCCTTATGCTCCTGCGAGGCACCCTGTACAAAGGGGCTATATAAATGCAAGTGGTTGCTAGAATTGCAGGGGACACTGCTGGGATATAACAGTCAGTACAGAGCAGCCTCATACACAGCCCTAGTCAGATACCATGAGGCTAGCCTTGTCCCTTCAGGGAGTGGCATGGCATGGGTACTGCCAAGGGGTGGTATGTGGGGAAGGGCTGTCCTTCTAGGAGTTGGGGGGGTAGGGTTGTAGGCTCAGGACCTGGCATGTTTGGGAAGTGGAGGGGGGGGGGGGGGGAAGCAGTGTCGAATCCCCTTCAGGGTCCCAGTCATTCAAGACTGTGACATCATCCTGCCCACATCCATGTGTATCCATCCAGTGTTACTGTGGGTAATCCCCTCAGGTTGGCAAAGAATTAACCGAAATAATTCATTAACTGTTCATTTGTACTTTATTCACTCACAGGATGAGGGAGTCACTGGTCAGGCCAGCATTTATTGCCCATCCCTAGTTGCCCAGTGGGTAGTTAAGAGTCAACCACGTTGCTGTGGGTGTAATGCAGTAGAAGCAGGAGGAGCAACACAGCATCTGCCTCCTCCTCAACCCCAGGCACGTGTCCAGGACAGAGATGCCTAGAGTTAGTGTCACACCACATGAACTCACTGCATAAACACAGTGGCTACAAGCGCAGGCCAGAGGCTGGGAATACTGCGGCAAGTAACTCACCTCCCAACTCCTCAAACCCTGTCCACCATCTACAAGGTACAAGTCAGGAATGTGATGGAATACGCCCCACTTGCCTGGATGGGGGCAGCCCCAACAACACTCAAGAAGCTCAACACCATCCAGGACAAAGCAGCCGCTTGATTGGCACCACATCCACAAACATCCCACTCCCTCCACCATCCAGGCAAGTGGGGCGTATTCCCTCACACTCCTGACTTGTGCCTTGTAGATGGCGGACTTTGGGGAGTCAGGAGGTGAGTTACTCTGCAATAGTCCTAACATCTGACCTGTTCTTTTAGCCGTTATATGATGAGTTCAGCTGAGTTTCTGGTCAATGGTAACCCCCAGGATGTTGATAGTGGGGGTTTCACCACTGAATGTCATTGTGTTGAGTGGATGTGCCAATGATGGGCAAACATTATGTAGCAATGGATCCAGCAGTGACACAGTGTCATACCAAACACAGCGGGTGGGTTTTTAGAGTAAGGTTACTTTAAGAACTTGTCTTTAATTATCTGCAGCATCTGCTCATGGTGAGCGAAGGTCACAGTGGGAACGATGGGGGTTCCTGAGAATGAGGAGAGACAAGGCGATATCACAACCCAATATCTCTCTGGCTGTGGCCTCTGAGGAAGCCTCAATGGTCTATCACAGAAGTGCTTCAGGTACACGAGACGGAGCCTTACTCTGTATCTAACCCTGTGCTGTCCCTGCCCTTGGAGTGTTTGATGGATGGGGACGGTGTAGAGAGAGCTTTACTCTGTATCTAACCCCATGCTGCCCCTGCCCTGGGAGTGTTTGATGGGAGACAGTGTAGAGGGAGCTTTACTCTGTATCTAATCCCGTGCTGTCCCTGTCCTGGGAGCCTGATTTTTAGTTTGAGGACATTGCGCTGCGTGGTGTGTATATGTGGATATGTGTGCTTGAGGCTGTGGGTGAGTGGATGTGTGTGTAAGGACCTGTGTGAGTGTGTCTGTGAGTGAGTGTAGGGTGAGTGTATGTTTGTCTGGATGAGCGAGTGTGTCTCTGTGTATATGTCTGGCTGATAGAGTGTGTGTGTTTGTGTGAGTGTGTGTGTGTGTGTGTGTGTGAGTGTGTGCGTGTCTTTGTGAGTGTGTGTGTGTGAGAGTGTGTGTTTGTGTGAGTGTGTGTGTGTGTGTGTGTCTGTGAGTGTATGTGTGTGTGCGTATGTGTGTCTGTCTGTCTGTGAGTGTATGTGTGTGTGCGTGTGTGTGTCTGTCTGTCTGTGTGTGTGTGTGTGTGTCTGTCTGTCTGTCTGTCTGTCTGTGTCTGTGTGAGTGTGAGTGTCTGTGTGTGTGTGTCCGTGAGTGTGTGTGTGTGTGTGTCTGTGTGTGTGTGTGTCTGTGTGTGTGTGTGTCTGTGTGAGTGTGTGTGTGTCCGTGAGTGTGTCCGTGAGTGTGTGTGTGTGTGTGTCCGTGTATGTGTGTGTGTGTGTGTATGTGTTTGTGTGTATGTGTGTGTGTTTGTGTGTATGTGTTTGTGTGTGTGTGTCCGTGTGTGTGTGTGTGTGTGTGTGTCTGTGAGTGTATGTGTGTGTGTGTGTCTGTCTGTCTGTGTGTTTGTGTGTGTGTGTGTGTGTGCTTTTGTGGGGGTGTGTGTGTGTGTCTGTCTGTTTGTCTGTGTGTGTGTGTGTGTGGGTATGTAATGCTTGAGTGCGGGCTATTATTTTTCGATCCTGTGGTTATAGTTCAAGATTCATTTCCCATGTACCTGGAGCCTCTGTCTGTAATTAATAATCGAGTGTTCATGAAGATCGCACAGAAACCCTCTCCATTAACACCACGTCACATTGTTCCACACATTTCTATCCCTGAAATTGGGTGATGCAGGGGATGGAGGGGGTGGGCGGGGACTGGAAATGTTTCAGTTAGTTTCTACAGGAACTTTGTGTTGTGCTGTGCTATGCGTTTATGTTTTGTGCTTTGGATCTGTGTTTTAAGTTTTGTGTTTTGTGTTTGTATTTTGCGTGTTTTGTGTTTGCGAGTAGAGGTGCGTTCTAACAGTATGTCAATCAAACATGACAAGGTTCCATTTGGTTTGTCTTCACAGATTTCCCTCCTGTCTTCCATGTTAAACTTAAAGACCAGGTGCTGCTCGAAGATGATCCCTTAACCCTCTGTAGTTTACCAGCAGGAAGCCCCACTCCCACCGTCATCTGGTCAAAAGGTCAGTAATTCTGTGGGTCTTTCATTCCTGTGAACAACCCATGTTTGTGTAAACAGTGCTCCTGACCCCCAACACTGTAATGTTGCTCTCCCTCTCTCGACCTGTCTCCACAATACATGCTTTCGTCAGAAGAACATTGAAGTCAATATAGAATAGGGGGTACAATTCTAAACGGGGAGCAGGGGCAGAAGGAGCTGGGTGTTTATGTACGCAGATCACCAAAGGTGGTAGGACAGAGGGGAGAGCAGCTTTATTAATCGGGGCATAGAATACAAGAGCAAGGAGGTGATGCTGAACTTGTACAAGATACTTGTTAGACCTCAGCTGGAGTATTTTATACAGATGTGGGAGTAACATCATAGGAAAGGTGTATGTGTATTGCAGGGAGTGCAGGAGCGATTTACAAGAAGGGTTCCAGGGATGAGAAACGTCAGTGATGAGGAGAGATTGAAGAAGTTGGGACAGTTCTCCTGGGAGAGATGAGGCTGAGAGGGAGATCAGACAGAGTTTACAACATCATGAGTGGGCTGGGCTGAGTAGACGGGGAGGAACTGTTCCTGCTTGTAAAAGGAAGAAGAACGAGGGGGTATGAGTTAGCAGTGAGTTGTGAGGGTGAAGTGAGAGAAAAAATAAAGCTTTCTCACTCAGTGAGTATTAAGGGTGTGAAATGCACTGCCTGGCAATGTAGGGGAGGCAGGTTTAATTGAGGGATTCCAGAGGGGCGTTGGATGCTTATTGGGACAGAAATGGTAAATGGAGAAAAGACAGGAACTCGGCACTGGGTATTGGAACTGGTGACGGTCCGATAGGCTGAATGGCCTCCAGCTGTGCCACGGTAATTGTGGGATTATGTTTCTCCTGGGTTTTCCATTCCAGACCAGAAGCCGCTCGTGCCAGACGACAGGATTATGATCGTGTCGTGTCCTGATGGTCGCCAGCTCGTGACCATCACGAAGACGTCACGAAACGACATCGGTGTGTACGAGTGCTCAGCCACCAACCCCCTGGGGTCAGCCAGTAGCTCCTGCACCGTCTCCCTCGCTCGTAAGTCATCGCCGCTCGGGGAAGGGACTATTCCACCGACGGGAACGTTCCCCTGCTCCCACAGTCCTTGGGAAACCAGGCCTGTAAGGCAGGGATACTCCAGCATAAACATTTTCCCTCATGTTGGCCTGTTATTTACCACAAAATCACCGCAACTCCAGATAACATTCTGGGGACCCAGGTTCGAATCCCGCCATGTCTGATGGTGGAATTTGAGTTCAATAGAAATATTCTGGAATTAAGATATCCATTAAACTATTGGTGACATGCCCATCTGAGTCACTAATGTCCTTTAGGGAAGGAAGCTGCCATCCTTACCTGGTCTGGCCTACATGTGACTCCAGAACCACAGCAATGTGGTTGACTCTTAACTGCCCCCTGGGCAATTAGGGATGGACAATAAATGCTGCCTAGCCAGCGACACCCTCATCCTGTGAGGGAATAAGGAAAAAAAAGACCCTCAGCAATGTGGCTAATTCCTAACTGCCTTCTGGGTAATAAATGCAGTTCTTAGCCAGTAGTGCCCACATCCTGGAAACAAATTTTTAAAAATCAAGGGAAGCTTGATGCCTGATTGTTCACATTAAACCTCCACAAGGAGCGAGTAATCTGTTTTTTCCCAGTGATACTGGTTGAGGTGTAAATGTCAACCAGGCTGTAGGCCCTGAACTTAGTCAAACCGGTGACCTGGGACTTATCGAGAGGGGCCTTGGTTTAACAACTCGACTGACTCACTTCTGACCATATGGCACGCCCTCAGTCTGCCCCCCTCTCCGCCTCAGTCTGGACTCTGTGTAGTGGCTCAGCACAGTATCCTGCCTCAGAGGCGAGAGCGCTACACGTGAGAAGTCCCAGCAGAAGCAGACCTTCTCCCACCAACCCCCAACCCACCTCCCCTCACCGTTTGTGATCCGAGCCGAGCCTCTGCGCACATCACCCAGCTCTCCGTCTTCCCCACAGGGCTCCCCGGGAGGCCGGGACCCCCTGAAATCCCTCAGGTATACAAGAACACAGCACTCATCATATGGAAACCAGCGGAAACCCTCGGCCCTTGCACCTACACATTGGAGCAGAAACTTTCTGGTAAGGACTCCATCCAGTTGGCACAAGGCCGGAGGGCGTTGGGGGGTGGCGTGGGGTGGGGGGGGGGGGGTGCGGTGGCGTAGTGGGGGACCTGGGTTTTGTGTCCTGTACCAACCCTCAGCATTAACCAGTCCACTCAGCCCTTAGTGGGTTTTGTCTTCAGGCCACAGGAAAAGGCACAGAGGGATCCTCAACCTCCTTTCTCCCAAATGCCCATTTGCCCAGTTTCGTGTCTCACGTTGTCTCCACCACTGAGCCCGCCTACTTCCATCATCTTGATATCTCCCAGCTCCACCTGTGCCTGAGTTCACCCAGCCTGTGCAACCCTCACCTGCTACATCTAGACTGGGCTTGTCCCTCAGGCGGCACGGTGGCTCAGTGGTTAGCACTGCAGCCTCACAGCGCCAGGGACCCAGGTTCGATTCCAGCCTCGGGTGACTATCTGTGCAGAGTTTGCACATTCTCCCCGTGTCTGTGTGGGTTTCCTCCGGTTTCCTCCCACAGTCCAAAGATGTACAGGCTAGGTGGATTGGCCATGCTAAATTGCCTGTAGTGTTCAGGGGTGTGTGGGTTATAGGGGGATGGGTCTGGGTGGGATGCTGCAAGGGTCGGTGTGGACTTGTTGGGCCGAAGGGCCTGTTTCCACACTGTAGGGATTCTATAATCTATAATCAGGCTCCTGCTCAGCCTTGCTTGTTCTCACCCTCAGTAAACATGGACAGTCCTGCTCCAAACTCACACCAAGTCCCACTCACCCCTCTGCTCCCAGTTCCTGCAAATCCTCATTCCCATAACACGTGGGAGCAGAATTAGACCATTCAGCCCATTGAGTCTGCTCTGCCATTCAATGAGATAATGTCTGATGTGACAATCCTTGGCTCCATTTCCCATTTTACTGCAATCACCATATGACGCCCCTTACTGATAACAAGACCATATAGGCCCTTCAACCCAATGAGTCTGTTTAACATCCCTCCATGGCCCCACCCTCTCTCTGTAACCTCCTCCAGCCTCACACCATTCCGACATCCCTTCAACCTTTCTATTCCAGCCACTTGCAGTTTTCCAGTTTCTGACTCTCTGAAACAAACACAGAGAATGCTGTAGAAACTCAGCAGGTCTGGCAGCATATCTAGAGAGAGAGTAGAGCTAACATTTCAGGTCCAGTATGACCCTCCTTTGGACAGAGTATTCTTCAACATTAGTCCTACACCGACGCCCAAGACCCTGGAATTTCCTCCATAAATCCCTCAGCTTTCCTCCCTCTTCCTCAAAGCCCCCATCATTAACCCAGCCCTCACTCACCTTATGTCCTTATGTGGTTAAGTGTGAAGGATGATCACCCCTCTGAAGTGCTTCAGGGATGATGTTAAAGATGCTACGTAAATGCAAGTTGTATGTTTAATGAAAACAATTGATTTCTGGTGGCAGGAGAGGACAGCTGGAAGGTTCTCTCAGCTCAAATTACCGACTGTTTCTTCAACGCCACTGAGTTAACAAGTGGCACTCTCAGGTTCCGAGTGGCTTGTGTTAACAAAGCTGGCCAAGGCCCCTACAGTCAGACCTCAGAGAGGGTTGTTATCGAGGAGGAGAAACCAGGTACGTAGGATCACGGTGTGGAGCTCACGTGAAGGATACACAGGGGACATGTCCACTGCTTCTCAATTGCTACGGTGGGACAGAGATATCCCTATAATCCATCTGCTGGGCTTGGACAGAACTGGCCAGGATTGAGACTGGGTCAGTTTGGGTGAGATTGGCTTGAGGTGAACTAGGTTGGGTGGAATTGGGATAAATAGAGCTGGATTTAGGATTGGACTGTGTTGGGATTGATCTGAATTGGGTTTGGATTGCACTGAATTGGATATGGATTGGGTTGGATTGAGATTGATATTGGGTTTGGGTTGGGTTTGGGTTGGAATTAGATTGGACTGGATTGGATTGGGTTAGGGTTGGGTTTGGATTGAATTGGGAATGAGTTGGGATTGGGTTAGATTGGGATTGGAATAAGATTGGGATTGGATTAGATTGGGATTGGGTTGGTTTAGGATTGGGATTTGATTGGGTTGGAATTTGAATGGGATTGAGATTGAGATTAGATTGGGATTATATTGGGTTGTGTTGGGGTGGCTTGGATTGGAAACAAGTTGGGATTGTGTTAGGTTGTGATTGGGAATGAATTGGGTTGGGATCGAGATTAGGATTGGATTGGGATGGGTTTGGGTTTGGGATTAGGATTGGGACTGAGATTGGATTAAACTGGGATTGGGCTGGGTTGGATGGGGCTGTGTTCTATGGGGCTGGGTTGGATAGGCATGGTGATGGATGGGGGTGAGTGAATGAGGGTGGACGGGGATGGGATGGGGGTGGATGAGGGTTGGGTAGGGGTGGCGGTGGGATTGGATGGTGTTGATGGGGTGGATAGGGGTGGGGTTGGATTCGTGTGGAGGTGGATGGGAGTGTGGGTGTAGGTTGGATGGGGATGGGTGGATGAGTTGGGATTGGATGGAGGTGGATGGGGATGGGGATGGGGTGGGGGTGATTGGGTGGGGGTGGGTTGGATTGTATTGGTGATGATAAATGTTCTGTCAGCTGGTGAGGGCACACCAGTTAATCTAAAATAACAGCAATGATGCTAAAATATTTAAATCACCCCTTTTTCTCAATGGCCTTGAATGACATTGATTCTAAAATCCTCCTCCTTGTTTTCAACTCCCTCCATGTCTTCTCCCTCCCTATCTCTGTAATCTCCTCCAGCCTCACAACCCTCGAGATCTCTCTCCGACCCTTCAACTTCGGCCTCTGGTATGTCCCTGATTTTAATCCTGTATTATTAGCAACTGTGCCTTCAGCTTCCAGGATCACAAAACTCTGGAGCCTCCCTAAATGTCTTAGCCTCTCTCTCGCTCTCCTCTTGATATTCCTTAAGACTTTATTTATCAATGTTGAACTCTTAAACAAAGCGATGCATGACACTCAGAAATCCTTACCCCATACTATAAGCATCAACAGCATAAAACAGGCTTCAGCTACAATGTCCACTTCATTTACCATTTACTAAGAGACCAAGCAATGCCATATGTTCACATCACTGGTTCCTTCAAGTGATCTCGCTAACAGGAGCTCACTGCTGGTGGTCACTTCACCAACAATTTCTCGATATTCCCAGAACTGACCACATTACGCTGAAACAATGAGACACAGGATCAGCCCTTCGAATCTGCTCCACCACTCAATGAGGGCATGGCTGATCAGAGAATCCTCACCTCTAATGTTCTGTCTTTTCCCCTTAACCCTTCCCTTGCTGCAGCCGTGATGACTTTGAGGGCCATGCTCCTACCCACCTGTCTGCACCCTGTTCCTTGGTGTTTAAACTGTGCTTTCCATCAGATCATCCAATTGGGATACCAATCCCAGCAAGAGCACCCACATGTAGTCATATCTTGCTCCCAGCACTGTGTGTTTTTGTTTGTGTGTTGTTATGTATGTGTGTGTGTGAGATTGTGTGTGTATGTGTGTGTGTGCGCGCGCGTGCGTGTGTGAGCATGTGTGTGTGTGTGTGTGTGTGTGTGTGTGTGTGTGTGTGACCGTCCCTATTGGCCCAGCAATATGGTCTTTGGTTAGAATTCTTCTCCCTTTGTAGTTCTATTCTCCGACTCCGCAGTTTTGAGCTCAGTGCATTAGCACACCTCACAACTGATTACACTTTAACACAATCATAAAAACACAACATGTTAACAAAAAAAAAAGAGAGATCTTCCAACCTAATAAACACACAGAAAATGTGAAAAATCTGTGAACTCAGGGACCTGGCTGAATATCTCCTTCTGTTGCTCAGACTTTCCTCATGATTTGCAACTTCTCTTCAGAGCTACCTTGTGTAAGTTTGATTTGAGTCATTGCGTGAATGCTGTTGTAGCAAAGAGATCAGAATCTAGACATCAACTGGTTTTCCCTGAAGAAGAGTATTACCCAGAACATTGACGGCTCCTTTCCTCCAGATGCTGCCTGGCCCTGATGTGTCCTTCCAGGCTCCTGTTTGTCTACCTTGGGTTCCAGCATCTGCAGTTCTTTTGTCTCTAAGCTGGTTTTCAACTTGCTAGCCCAAGGGCACTGAGGCCAACAGTTGTATTTGGCTGTAGCCCCCAATTGGTTGGGCCCAGTCCTAACTGAACTTTCCAGTGAACAGTTCTCTGGCCTTGCAGACACCAGTTTGTGGGTTCAAGCCCCATCCTGGACACCTGTGTGTGTATAACATCGCAGGTGGGGTCTTGCTGTGCTGAGAGAGTGCTGCAGCGTCTAAGGTACTGTCTTTCTGATGAGACGGTCAGGCCGAGGCCCCGCCTGGTCCCCAGGGAGATGCTGTAAGGACATAGCCGCATTGTTTGAAGGAAGTGGGTCAGTATTCAATCCCCACAGTTTGCTAATTCCAGTCGTTATCCCACAGCAAGCAGTGGGATCTGTGCTGGGTATCAATTATCTGAATTGATAAAAGTGACAATGTTTCAGGAAATTTAAAATGTCTTGGAAATATTCAGTCTTTCAGAATCTAAATTAGCCAAAACCTGCCACTGTAGATAGTGACCAGAGGATATGCCCTTCAATATGTAAAGTTCTGTCTTTGATACCTGTTTTGTGTGTTTTTTACCCCCCAATGCCTGTACACGGGATATTACTCAAATGTTGACAATATCTGTTTAATTTGGAGTCTTTTGTCTTTTTGTTACAGAGCAACACACTCCACCTGCTCCCACCATCTCCTCTGTGCCAGTCTATCCTGCAAAAGTGACACCAACCCATGACCCAGGACCCCCAACCATGCCTTCCCCATTGACTGTGACCCCAATCTCCTCAAAGTTCACCCCTGCCCCAAAGATAGTGACCTCTGCCCTAACTGTGACCTCTGCCCCAACATCGACCCCTACCTCAATAGTGATCCCTGCCCCTACAGTGACTCTAGTCCCAAAGACAGTGACCCCTGCCCCTAAGACTGTGACCTCTGCCCCAACGTCGACCCCTACCTCAATAGTGACCCCTGCCCCTACAGTGACCCTAGTCCCAAAGACAGTGACCCCTGCCCCTAAGACTGTGACCCCTGACCTAACATCAACCCCTACCTCAATGGTGACTCCTGCCCCTACAGTGACCCTAGTCCCAAAGACAGTGACCCCTGCCCCTAAGACTGTGACCCCTCTTCCAACATCGACCCCTTCCTCAATAGTGACCCCTGCCCCTACAGTGACCCTAGTCCCAAAGACAGTGACCTCTGCCCTAACTGTGACCCCTGCCCCAACATCGACTCCTACCTCAATAGTGACCCCTGCCCCTACAGTGACCCCAGTCCCAAAGCCAGTGACCCCTGCCCCTAAGACTGTGACCCCTGCCCCTAAGACTGTGACCCCTGCCCCTATGGTGACCCCTGCCGCTACAGTGACCCCTGCGCCAAGAAAGTTCAAGTCTGTAACCACCTCCCCTGTAACTCCATCAGTCTCTCCATTGGCAGCCACCACTTTACCCATCTCTCCAGCTCGTGACATTGTCCCAGCCCCGAGCATCTCTCCTGTGGGATCGGACTCTTCATTGACTCCTACCAGGCTGTCCCCCAGCTCCAGGCTGGCCGATGGTTCCACCATGGGACTGAGGCAGGTTGTCCCCCAGAAACCCTACACGTTCATGGAAGAGAAGGCCAGGTAAAGCTCCTGAAGGGGGCGCTGACACCACCACCAGAACAACAACAACATGGCACATTGGTGTGGCACATTGGTGTAGCACCTTGGCATCTGGTCACCCTAATGCTTAGCAGCTGCACTTTCTGATGCTTGAACCAACGAAGGAAGTAAGGGGAGAGGTTTGCTCAAAGGGGAAGCTCTGAAGGAGCCTGTGGAAGGGTGTGGTGGGGGGGAAGGGGAAGAGAAGGGGAGGAGTTTAGCGACACTCCAGAGTTCAAGCCCCCAGGGCAGCTGAATGCTGGACCACCGACTGTAATGTGGGAGGAGGACAGGGAGGTCAGACAGGCAGAGGATGGTGACAGGGTGGATACTGTAGACACAACAAATGCTTGAGGCCAATCTTACTCGGGGCTACGTGCAGCTGAGGGATCCTCAGTTTGAAATGTCACCTAAAGACGCACTTTGTGAGGTAGTGCTCCCCTTTCACAGCTTCTCAATAATCCTTCCATTTCCTCACCAGTTCAGGGCATATTCAACTACATGAGGCTGAGAGGTTCTATAATTGGGAGGTGCTGGGGTAGTGGTGATGTTACTAGCACAGAAACATACAAACCCAGGTTAATGTCCTGAGGACCAGGGTTCAAATCCCAATTTGGCAACCAGTGAAATTTCAGTTTTAATAAAGATCTGGATTTAGTCTAATGGAAACCATGTGACCGATGCTGGAAAAGCCAAATCCATCTGGGTCACTAATGTCCTTCAGGGAGGGGGCAGACATCTACTGTCATTGCTTGGTCTGGCCTACATGTGACTCCAAGCCCATAGCAATATGATTTTTACATGCTGGTTGACCCAGCTCTGGGGCAGGGGGGAAAACAAGGTTATTCTCCAATCTTCTCTGACTCCAACTCTTCCATTCACACTCCCCCACCCCCCAATGCCCTTTTGGGGTTCACTCGAGCGATTAACTAAATCATAAAAGGAAGGATTTGCATTTCTATAGCATCCTGTACACCCTCGGGACTCCTGAAGGACTGTACAGCCGGTGGGGGAGGAGGGGAGGTGGCAGTTTCTGAAGACTACTGTAAGACACTCAGAAGCTAATTTGCGCAAAGCAAGCTCCCACAAACAGGAGGAGACCAATTAATCTGTTCCTTCACTGACGTCAGCTGAGGTATAACAATTGGGGCAGCACGGTGGCTCAGTGGTTAGCACTGCTGCCTCACAGTGCCAGGGACCCAGGTTCAATTCCACCCTCGGATGACTGTCTGTGTGGAGTTTACACATTCTCCCCGTGTCTGCGTGGGTTTCCTCTGGGTGCTCCGGTTTCCTCCCACAGTCCAAAGATGTGCAGGTTAAGGTGGATTGGCTGTGCTAAAGTGTGCAGGTGATGTGGATTGGCCATGGGAAATGCAAGGTTACAGGGATAGGGTAGGAGATGAGATACTCTTCCGAGAGTCAGTATGGAGTCAATGGACTGAATGGCCTGCTTCCATGATTATCCAGGACACCAGTTGTCCCTTTGAAGAGGGGCCATGTGTTCTCCCATCTGACTCAGTGGAGGTTATTTACGCTGAGAAGGAGAGAGCACACCCTCACTATGGCACTGTGCTCTCAGCCTCGAGTTCCTGCTGCAGCCCTCTGGGGTGGGACTCAAACTGACGGGCAATGCATTACCCATCAGACATTGTTGGTGGCAGTGCTGCGCTACTCAATCTGACCATTATCACCAGGCCCTTTGTGGGATCTTGCTGTGTACAGTTGACTGCCAGGTTTCTGACATCGCAGCAACGGCCGCACTTCAGGAGTTACATCGCCAGCTGCTGAGTGCTCTTGGCATCCATAGGATGTTATAGGCTCTACACAAATGCAGTCCTTTCATGTCATGCAGACAAAGTAGAATCCTCTTTGCTCTTTTGACAAAATAAGGCAGTGATGGGCAAAGTGGTTTGTTTTCTCATTGTCCTTACATCAGAGGCAAATGCAAGACTGGGGTTAACGAGATGGAAAACCATCATGAGTTATATTTCCCAGTAACTTTGGCGATGATCCCACACAGGAGCAGAATCTCGACCAGACCATCCCTCTCAACCATGGGGCACTTTAATAGAGTGCCCCCTCAACATTCTGTGAGTAATTGCACACCCTGACAGGCTCCACTGATGGGCCTAATCCTAACCCAATCAACAAGCAGACCATCAGGCCTGAATGGCCTCTCAGAGGGACAGGAAATGGTGACTGCAGTGCAAACACTGGATTAGCCATCCTGAGGTCCCAGCTAATACTCTGGGGATGTGGATTCAAATCCCATCGTGACAGATGGTGAGATTTAAACTCGGTTACAACATAAATTTGGAATTGAGAGCGAGCCTCAATAAGGGCGGCTTTTGCAATCCAAACACATGAAGTAGGCCATTCAGGGTCCTCAGCCTGACCCACTTTTCAATAAAATAATGGCTGACCTTTCTGTGTCTCCATATTCCTGTCTACACACCACCCCCCCGATAACCCTTGATTCCCCTCCTGAACAAGAATCAATCCACATCCGCATTAGCAATATTTAATGGGGCTGCTTTCTGTGGCAGAGAGTTCCAAACTCACACAGGCCTCTGAGAGAGAAAAGGAACATTTCTTATCCAAATCCTAAAAATGGCAATCCAGAATTTTAAACCATTGCCCCCTGCTTCTTCACTCATTGACAAGAGGAAACTTCTTTAAAAATTCATTGATAGGATGTGGGCATCATTAGATAGGCAGCATTTATTTCCCATCCCGGGGGCAGTTAGGAGTCAACCACACTGCTGTGGGTCTGGAGTCACATGTAGGCCAGACCAGGTAAGGATGGCAGTTTCCTTCCCTAAAGGACATTAATGACCCAGATGGGATTTTCTTGACAATCAACAATGGATTCACGGTCATCATTAGATTCTTAATTCCAGATATTTTATTGAATTCAAATCCCACCATCTGCCGTGGCAGGATTTGGACCTGGGTCCGAGAACATTATCCAGGTCTCTGGATTAACAGTCCGGTGATAATACCACTAGGCCATCTCCTCCCCTTAAGGAAGTGGAAGGGATCCATTATAAAGAACAGAATAGAGTACAAAAGGAAGGAGGTTATTGCAAATTGTTAATGCACTGGTATATTCAGTATAATTCTGAGCACCATATGAAACAGAGACTTTGAATGGGAGGAGGTTGAGCAGAAATCTCTTTAAAGTGCCTGTTCTGAGCTCCCCCACAACAGGAAGGAGCTCCCTGCTTGATATGGCCTTTTGGTGTTAGCAATGTTGGTACATGGTGTGTGAGAGCCCATCCAAAGGGCCAGGGCTGTGTCTCTGAGTCTGGGGGAAGGGGGTTGATGTGTAAAGGCTGATGTACTCTCCTTCCTCTCCAGGGGACGCTTTGGCGTGGTCCGAGAGTGTAAGGAAAATGCCACCGGGAAAATCTTCATGGCCAAGATTATTCACTATGAGGGAGAGAACAAGCAGGCAGTGCTCCAGGAGTATGAGGTGCTGAAGGCCCTGCATCATGAGAAGATCATGTCTCTCCATGAAGCCTACGTCACCCCTCGATACCTGGTGCTTATCTCAGAAAACTGTCTGGGCAAGGAAATACTCTACAGCTTGATTGACAGGTAGAGAACCCATGTGGCTCAGGAGAAACACTGTATAAACTTACACACTCTCTGGGATGCTCCATGTGAATCACAACGTAAACTGGAGGAACGATATCTCATCTTCAAACACGGCAGCTTACAACCTTCTGGACTCAAGGTTGAGTTCCACACTTTCCGATTGTGTACCCACTCCCATTCTTTCCTTTTCTTTTAGCTGTACTTGTTACCTGCTCTGTCACCATGTCCTCTTTCCTGCCCCCGCAAAACCTCTTCCAGGTGGGACTGTCTATCCTTCCATGTCTGTCAGGTAGACACACCATTGCTCTGCCATTTCTCACATTCCAATCACTTTATCTGAACTATCAACATCTTTTCGCGACCACCAATTAACCCCCCCCCCAAACTATAGCATAAATGCTGCCCCCTCCACACATCACATCAGCTCGATTGAAAAGTCGTCTCGACTTGAAATGTTACATTGCTCCCTGTCCATGGATGCTGCCAGAGCCACTGTGATCTCGACAATTTGTTGTTCGCAGGTTTCGGCGATCCCTTTGTAAGTACTGACACACTTCCCAGGGAAACACTGCAAATACTGACACAGTCCCCCAGGACACAGTGTAAATACTGATACAGCCCCCCATGTCACAGTGTAAATACTGACACAGTCCCCCAGGACACAGTGTAAATAGTGATACAGTCCCCCAGGACACAGTGTAAATACT